AAGAGGGCACCAGATCTCATTATTGATGGTTGTGAGCCACCATGTGGTTGCTGAGAATTGAACTCAGGACCTCTGGAAGAACAGCCAGTGAGTGCTCTTAACCTCTGAGCCATCTCTCCAGTCCCGAGAAAAATTTTTTTTATGATCTTGTCTATGCCCCTGACTTGGGATTCTTCTCCCTCATCCATCTATTCCTATAATTTAAAGGTTTGGTCTTTCATGGTGTCCCTATTTCTTCTCTGTTCCTTTGCTTTTTTTTTTTTTTCATGTTCTTTGTTTGTTTGATCTAGATCCTACTTTGTCAAGCCCTGATAATCCAGCTTCTGGTTGATTCATCCTATTTGTAAGGCTTTTCCTTGAGTTTTCTGCTTGGGTTATTGGAGTTTTGATTACATATTCATTTCAGTTTGAGCTCTCTTCAATGTTTCTATCTATTTATTAAACTTTTGTTTTGAATTCCCGGACTGTCCTTGTCATTTCCATCAGCTTTCTGTTTTTTTATCTTCTTGGTATTCACCCAGATGTTTATTCTCTGTAAGTTTACAAGCTCTTTCTTTGTGTCTCTTTTAAACTCCTTAAATTCTTTGATGAAGTTTATTATTTTTCTTTCAAATTATATGTCCTAGGCTTCATCTAGGTAATTCTCATGGGTAATAATTTCTGTAGAACTAGTGGATTTTACAGGGAAGATTCTGCCTTGATTTTTCATATTTTCTATATTTTTACCATGAAGTTTGGACATGGGGACTTATTTTGTTAGTTCTGTGTCTGATAAGGACAGAACAGGTTGGGCCAGAACACAGGATGTGTGGATCAGGTTGGATAAAACTTAGGTAGAATGAAGTGAAGTTTGACACAGGGGACTGGGCTGGTGTTTAATGTGCATCCTGTTCCAAGCCTAGACTTCGGGGCTAAATCTGAGGCTTAGGGAGGAGGGTGTATAGAGAAGAGAACTCACCCAGTCAGACCATGGTGCAAGATTCACAGCATCTGGTTGCCCAGGGAGGTTGAAATACAGTCCAAGAGGGGCCTGTAGGTTGAGGTGTTGTAGGTGTTGTTGGGGTGTGTCCTGGCCCAAGCTTGGAGGTTGAGGACCATGCAAGCATGTGTGACCAGCCTAGGTCAGGGCACCGGATGAGGAACTCAGGCTATAGTAGGTTGTCTGACAAGTTGTCATCACTGTGGGAAAACTCTTTCCTATAGGCAAGTTCCTTTTTTGGTTGTCACCAAGCTTTAGTCTTTTTTTTCCTAGCATGAGATTCCTGGGGGAGGGGAGGATTCCAGTTTCTTGGGTCACCTGATTCAAGGGTCTGCTAACCAAAAGGAGAAACACAGATGTTTCTCCAATTTATCTTCATTTTTACCAGGCAGGTCACAGGGTCAGGAAGCAGTTTGGTAAGCCAAATGCTAGAGTGCCTCACAAGTTGTCTCCCAGATCCATCTTTTGAGGTGTGGCCACCTCAGTTAAACTGTCTTGAATCAGCCTGGGATCTCCATGCCAGGGCTGTGCTCTTTCTGATTCCTGGAAGTGAGGACAACCTAAAGCCAAGACGAAGGCAAGAGCAAGCTTCAAATCCTGGTGTCTGTGACCTGCCTGACAATGGTCCTTGAAAGCACTCAAGGTGAGTGGGGTGGGCATCTTCATCATGGCTGTGATTGGCTCACAAGAATCAAATGAAGTAGCTATGACCTAGCTGACCTGTGAGCAGAATCAACTGCTGTTGCTGCTACTGCAATTTCTGTCCTGTCCTTTCAGGGAAGTGACCAAAAAAGCCTGGACATGTCAACAGACCTTCTGACAAGGCTCCCTAGTTGCAGGTTTTCTGAGAGTACACACTGGCAACTGCATGTGGATGATGAGGTCAGAGGCCCAAGAGAAACACCTAGCTAATGCTTTCTTGTGTGTGCTCAGGGTATCATTAACATTCCAAGTGGCAGGACGGGTGTTATAGTTTAGATATAAAACATCCCCCACAGGCTTATTAGTTTTTGCCTAGTGATGCTGTTTGAGGAGGTTGTAGAATCTTTGTGAAGAGAGTTTACATGGAGGCAGCAAGTTGCTTCAGAGGAGAGAGCTTGAGGTTTATAGCCTGGGCCTAGTTCCTGTTCTTTCTCCGGACTCTGTTTCCTGTTCCTTGGAGCTGTGAGTCTCAGGGGTACACTCCCACCCTCATCCACCCAGCTCCCCCAATCCCCCCTCCCACTTCACTGCACCTCTGCCAGCTGCTATCCAAGCTAAATCCTCTCTTCCTTTAGTTAAGTGGTTCTCAACCTGTGGGTCGCAACCCCTTTGTGGGCCGAACAATCCTTTCACAGGGGTTGCTTAAAAACAACAGAAATCTCACATATTTTACATTACAATTCATCACAGTAGCAAAATCACAGTGATGAAGTGGCAACGAAAACAGTTTTATGGTTGGGGGTGGCGACACCATGTGAAGAACTGTCTTAAAGGATCCAGGTGTTAGGAGGCTTGAGAACCACTGCTTTCGTTTATTTGTCACATGCCCTGTTACAGTCACAAGGAAACAGATGATCACAGGTAGGGAATTTTGGTTACTCCTAAATCTTTAGTTGGTCTGCCTCAGTGGTTCTCAACCTTCAGGTAGCGCCGCGGCAGGTTCTGAAGCACACTGTCCCTCCGCTCTGGCTCGCGCGCTCCACAAGTTGTGAGCTTCAGCAACTACGGCGGACAGATTTCAAAGGAAAGAGCCGCCCGTGGGCATTCCCACGTGCAGCGTGGTCGCTGGTGGGCAGGGGGAATGGATCAGCGACTCCTGCAGCGGTCTCGCGGGGCCCCTGGAGCCTGCTCAGAGCGGGTCAGGGGCCAGTGGGCAGACCGCTGCCGCTGCGCTCAGACTGCAGAGCAGGAGTGATTTGCTGAGGGATTTGCGCCGCTGGTACCTACCAGGCGGGGAGGCTGTGATCCCAGGCCATAGGGTAGACCAAATACCCACTACACCTTCTTAATGCTTTTACTCTTTAATACAGTTCTTCATGTTGTGATGGCCTCTAACCATGAAATTATTTTCGTTGTTACTTCATAACTTTAAATTTTCAACTGTTAGGATCTGTAATGTAAATATCTGATATGTAGGATGTATTTTCCTTGTTACAAATTGACCCAAAGGGGTTGTGACCCCACAGGTTGACCAGCAGGTCTACATCCTTCTGTTCCTTATTGACTGAAGGAATCTGTAAGAGAGAATTATTTCCCACTATTTGAGCAATGTTTGTGATTACATTAATTTGGGGGATACCAGAGAATTTGATAGTCAGTCCTGGATCCCAAATTCAAGCTGAGGATGTTCATCAGGATTTATCCTTCAGGATGGTGAGCATCCAAATCCTGCAAGGGCTGTGGCTTCAGTGTGGCGTCCCTCAAAAGTACACACACACACACACACACACACACACACACACACACACTGTCTTTGTGGTGGTATTGAGAGGTAGAGTCCTTGGACACTGGTTAGGCCATGAGGGCTCCTCTCAGGCATGGGCTTGCTGTCCTTATAAAAAGGGCTGTTGGATGTGAGTTCAATCCTTCCTGCCTTCTACCATGTAATCAAACCTAGGTGGTGCCATCTAAAAGCAAGGAGCCCTCAGCAGACATAGAGACTCTTGGCACCTTGGTCTTGGGGCTTCTCAGCCTCCACAGCTGTGAGACATAATTCTCTATTGTTTGTACCCCTCATCCTTCAGCATTTACTAGAGTGGCCCCGGGAGGCGGGGACACATGCTTTCAAATAAACACATCTCCTTGTCTCAAGTATTGGCAGCAAATGGGAAGAGGGGAGACGTGAATTTCTATCATTAACAACAACAAAGTAATCTCACCATAAAGAGAGAAATCAATAGGAAAATGAACCACAGACATACTTGGAGGAGTCACCATAAATAAACAGACAGACAGACAGATAGATGCTAATATTCACTAGAAATAAAGAGACGTGTTCAGCCCCGTTCATTAAAAATGGAGACTAAAAATTACACCAGGATCCTGTTTGAATTGATAAGATAATGAGAATCTAAAGGGTGGATAAGAACGCTCTTTGCTTTAAAAAAAAAAAAATAGAGCATGGACTCAGGCATTTGTTTATCATAACATAAAGGACAAAATTACCCATGGATACATGCGGCAAGTGGGGAATACTGGTTTAAGTTGCAAATGCACTTTTCCCTTTGGCTTCATACCTGATTGCTGGGAATGCTGCCCTGTGTATACTTTCCTGCACTGAGAGCGACATTCTAGACCATTCGGTACTGCACAGAACATTTAACATACTGCCCCAACAGCTGCTTTTATTTTAAAGGGCATGCTGTGCTAAATTTCGGCTACAGGATACATGCAACTGTGAAGAAAAAAGAAAAAAAGGGACATTATCCCAGGACTGTGAGGAGAAAGCAAGGTAAAAAAGGAAGCAAGGGAAACTGGAGTGAGTTTGGCGGGAGTTCTGTACGGCACAAGGTCGATGAGAAATCCACAGGAGGGGCTTCTTGCGCCAAGTGGAAGGTGCTGTGTTCCTTAAACCCTGTCGTGTACGCATGCGTATTCGTTCATGGAACTGATGGGAACACAGATGGCGGCGGGCACCACATCTGCCTCAGGAGGCATAAGGAAGGTCAGGGTGGGGCTCTCTGGTGTCCGGCTCCCAGGGGAGGAGAGCCCCACCGAGCGAAGACTAATTGATTGCCGTGGCGTCAGGTAGGGGGCGCTGTTTGCCGCGTATCCCGCAGACCCTGAGTCGCCCCCCTCTGGACGGCCTTCAAGGAGCCGGAGACCGTGGGACTGGCGGGAACTGGAATGTTCCAGAAGGAGCACCGGAGGCGCCCTGTAGGGGGCAGTGTGGGGAGAGCGGACGCGCCCCCCCCCCCGCCCCCGAGGAGAGCCCGCTGAATCTCAGACCTCACCGGGGGCCAGTCAGATGCCGGGACTCATGGACACGCGGAAGCACGGACAGCTGAGGAAGTGAGTGCGGTTGTGGGGGTGTGGGCACATGAGCCGCTCCTCTCTCAGGTCCGCCAAGGGGTCCAGAGCACAGACTTGACTCTGTGGGGCCAAAAGTGTGAGGAAGGTTCCCTGAGGTGTGCGTCCTTGGGGGGCCCCCCCACGCCCCCGCAGAACATGGAGTAAGGGTGGCCCCGGGGTGCGGTGGGGCGGTGGGGAGGTGGGAGTGGTTCTGTAGCACGCGGACTGGGACCGACCGACGACGGGGGGACACCAGTGAGCAGAGCTAGCCACTCATTCCTCTCCTTGGCAGGACCAGGCGCCCTCTGGAGATGGTGGTCCTCCTGGTCCTGCTCACCGCCATAGGCTTACCGCTGACCAACCAAAGTAAGTGCCGCCACCCCGCGCCCTCGAAGATGATGGAAGTTAGTGACTCCAGAGAGAGAGTCCATTGTGGTAGGGTAAACTGAAGTCCGGGAAGGTGAACCCCGAGGTCATGAAGGCTACCGTATGGTGGGGCAGTGGAG